GGGTCTGGAGCCCCTTCTGTTTGCCTCGGGGTTCTTGATAGGCTCCGGAGGCGGATATGCAATATAATTGGCCCTGTTCTGGCATCTCGTCTACAGTCGCTCTCTCCCAGACGCGCCGTCACCTCTCTGTCTTTTTTTACAAATACTTTCTTGGTAATTGCTCCGAGGAGCTGCATTCGCTGGTTCCCAGACTTCATGAATTCAAGCGCCCTACGAAGCTGGCATCCCGCTCTCACCCTTTCACTGTCGAAACTAATAAATGTAGCCGTCTCTTCTACTCTAATAATGTCTCGCACCTTCATGTCCTTTCCCTATTCCAGTTTCCCTGAGAGCTATAATCTCAAACTATTCAAATGTAATGTCAATCGACATCTCCAGTTGCCTTGATCTATCCACTATCCTTCTCCTCATCCTTTCCTCTATCACTCCTATCTGATCTTGCTAGAAATCTTCTGTAACCCCTTGCGTCCTAGTGGCTTCTCGCCTTGCTTGTGGTGAAACGCTTAAAAAAAATGCAGTTGTTCACTGCAAAACCTATCCAAGTGCCGACTGCGGAAGTGACCACCTTCCTGTTATATGTAAACTAAGAATGAAAGAATATTGCAATACAGCAGATTCCTGAACGGCCCGAAGGAAACATATATGGACAGTATGAAAAGAAGATACGAGGAATAAAATGGAAATGGAAACTCGAAATGAGTCACATTAAGAGAAGCTTTAGTGACATCAGCAAACATCATCCGAAAGAAGAATGGACTAAGAAGAAAAAAAAAAATAATCGTCACAGATGAGATTCTCGACATTATGTAAAGGTGACAGAAATCAATGACATAACATGGAAAGGAAATACAGAAAACTACACTATGAAATAAGAAACAAATACAGGCTGGCTAAAGAAGAATGGCTCAACGAAAAATGTGCAGAAATAGGGAGAGTGAGCAGATAAAGGAGATGTGCATAAAAAATAAGGGCACTAACAGAACAACAGACATGATCATCAACAAGCTGCATAAAATCCAAGGACGGAACTCTCATATTAGAGAAGGAAAAGATTCTTCAGCGCTGAAACGAATATATTAGAGATCTTTTCCTTGACAAAAGATTACAACCAACAAAACACAGAAATACCAACGGATCAGAAATATTAAAAACCGAAGTGGAAGCTGCATTGACCAAGCTGAATAGAAACAAAGCAGCAGGGCCCACCGGAATTTTAATATAGAAGCTGGCAGCTTTTCGGTGTAGACGATTTTGGTATAGACAAGATTACAGAAATGATAAATGAAATCTAAACAGTGCTGAAATACAGGAGAACCTAAGCAGATCTGTTTTCATAGAACTACCTAAGAAACTAGGCACCAACGAATCGGAACTCCACCGAACAATCAACCTAATGAGCCACGTAACAAAACTCATCATTCGAATTCTGATGAATACAGCGCGCAGCCGAATCGGACCAGACATAGGACAAGAATTGTATTTCGTCAAATACACTGGAACAGGGAGCGCCATATTTATGCTCAGAATGTTATCAGAGAGAGCAATACAAATACAGAAGAACGTGTACCTGTGTTTTATAGACCTACGCAAAGGCGTTCGACAGATTACGCCACAAAAATCTGTTAGAGCTAGCTTCTCAGTAACCTTGCCATATTCGGGAAAGACATTAGACTAATAAAAAATCTCTACTAGCAGCAAACCTCCTGCATGCGGATAAAGATCCGTTCAGCAGATATACAAAAACAGAAAGGGTTTTAAGACAAGGATGTGCCTTCTCACCGGACTTATTCAACCTGTAAATCAAGGCAAATCTGAGAGAACAAGAAATCTTACCAGAATTCATCATTGGCAGCCACAATGAAGATGATACAGTGTGCTAATACCAGACACGCAAAGAAAACGAAAAAACATCCTACAGAAGGTAGCGAAAGAGAGTGAGAAAAAGAGATACATAAACTACAAGAAGTCAGAATGCATGGTCATCAGCAAAAAGATGAGCCCAAAATGCAAATTACAGGTCGGGATAATAAAATCAAGCACGCACATAAATTTAAATATCTGGCAAATTTTCTAACAGTGGACGAGAAGTGGGACACTGAGATCTAAAGACATATGGGGATGGCGAAAGACATTCCAAAAGATAAGCAGATTATTAAGAGACATGAGGGTTTCGTTGGAAACAAAAAATGGTGCTGAACTGTTAGGTGATATATGTAGCATAGCAGGGGAATGTCGGTCATCTCCTCAAAGATGAAGAAGAGACATGAAGCAACAGAAATGTGATTCTACAGAAGGATGCTAAGGATACGATGGTCCAAACATGGGAGCAACGACGAGGTTTTGGACAGAATGGAAACGAAAAGGAAAATTATAATTAACATCAGGAAGAGGCAGTTGAAATTTCTGGGGCGCATAATGAGGAAGAAGGGCATGGAAAATATACTCACAAGTCGGATAGTAGGGAAAGAGGGACAGAGAAACAAAGGGACACACTTAGGGGTTTGAACAAGTTGATGCCAGAACAGTGTTTGGGAGAAATAACCCCCCCAAAAAAAAAAAAAAAAAAAAAAAACAAAACAAAGCTTATTAAGAGCTACAAGGGACAGGGAGGTAAGGTAGGGACATGATCGTCTACGGCCTGAAGGACACAGTATAAAAAATATATATATATATATATATATATATATATATATATATATATATATATATGCACTCATACACCATGTATATATATATATATATATATATATATATATATGAGAGTATACTGAAAATACTTTAGTCCTACTGACTTCCTAATATTAATGCAACATTTCAGCCCTTCCTTCACATACATACATACATATATATATATATATATATATATATATATATATATATAAAACATAAGACAGTGTGTGTGTGTGTGTGTCTGTGTAACGAATGCACAGCCGCAATTTTCGACGGATTTGCACCAAAATTTACATGCACATGCTCCAAGTTAGAGGAAAGGCCAAGACCAACTTTGCATTTCCCAACTCCCATCGATAGTGGAAATAATCGATTTTTTTCATGCTTCTATGGCAGTTTTCATATAGTTTGCGGCCATTTTCTACTGGCCAGAGTGAGAGTCTATAATTGGCTGCCACGAATAGGCAGGAAGATTCTATTGGCCAGCGTGAGAGCCAACAGCTGACTGACACGAATGTTAACTAGCATACAAAAAATATCGATAGCTGCATTCGTCACAAGTGGGAAAAATTTAAATCTGCATGGCACTTTACTCCAATTGGCTCATTCGCTTGCTTAAACTGAACGTTGATTCTGATTCCGCAGAACTGGGTTGGGTGTGAAAAAGTATTTGTTGTTAACATTTTTTTTCATTCGGTTTTTCCAGTTACGAGTCCTTTTTAAAGCTGATCGTTTTGTGTTCATTTTGTTTAGTTCTTTTTCGTAACAGATTTAATGTTTAGTATAGAGCTTAGAAAAATTCGCAATGTGATATAGTAAGACATGTAGCAACATCAGCACGGCAAAGGGATCTCCTTTAAAAGGCAAGGAAGGACAAAAATATTTTAAGTCAAGTGATAGCGATTGCTGTATGAGTCGGACGATTTTTGAATCAAGCACGGGCAAACACTGGGCCATGCTAGTATATATATATATATATATATATATATATATATATATATATATATATATATATATATATATATATATATATATATATATATATATATATATATATATATATATATATATATATATATATATATATATATATATATATATATATATATATATATATATATATATGGGTTGTATATATATATATATATATATATATATATATATGAGTGTAGGCTGAAAATAGTTTAGTCCTACTGACTTTCTAATATTAATGCAACATTTCAGCCCCTCATTCACACACATACATACCTGCATTATATATATATATATATATATATATATATATATATATATATATATATATATATATATAATGCGTTATTAACACTGAATACAACTAATAACTCAATTATATTTAGCGAGAAAGTAAAATGTTACATTTCAAACGTTGAACATATCTTGCGCCTATAAGAACAGTTTACGCATGCGTACCGATGTACAAGCTACATATATATTTTTTAATACTCAGCTGTTTCCGCCAGTCTTCGGTAATCTTTTTTTTTTTCTAAGAGAACCCCGAATTCTTAGACCAATTAAAAAAAATGAATGCAGTATTGGCAGTAAGCGTAAAAATAGTGATAACATGTGTAATTATTGTCTGCCAAAATAGTCTCCATTTGTTGACTGAATGTTGCAAATTAAAACAACCGTGATATTAAACACATAATAACAACACAGCTTGAGGTTTCAGATGTTGTGACTTGGTCATCTCTTATTCTTGATATTGTTGTTGTTAGTATTGCCTCATACCGGGTTTCCCTGATGACTGCTGCTCTAGAATATATGACACTGTTTCAGCACCTTTCTCAGTATCGTAGCGGCATTTAAAATGTGGCACTGAGAAAATCATCGGCATTACCCTCTTCATAAAAGCAAAGCCAAACATCAGAATTTGGGGATGGAAGTGGTTCTTGGTCAAACGGAACATTTTTCATCACCCTACCGAATTTATTCCTAACTTCATATGATGTCTTTCATCTGTTTGGACTGTTTGTCATCCTCGATGAGGATTGCCACTCTCAGATCGGCTGTTTGTTTTCTAACCTATTTTTCAGTTTTTTTTTGCTGCATCGTTTAGATATTAACATTTTAAAAACTTATCGCTTTCTTTCTTTTTGTGGAGGTGCGATTCAGTTTAGAAAATTGGTCTGTAGCTGAAATTGCTCAAACAAGATTTCATCCTATCTTCTTTCTCTTTCTAGTTTTATTTCGTTTATTTTTTCACTATTATTTCTCTCTCTCTCTTTTTTGTTGTTTTTCCAAAATGCCCCTTCTCCTACCTTCTGTTTCTTCTTTTCTTTCCCCCACCTTTTTTTTTTTTTTTTCTTTAGCCACTTTCTCTCACTCCATCTTATTTTCCTTTACTTCCTTTTTTTCTTTCTCTAATTCTTCCTCTTCTTTCATTTTTCATTCTCTGTATTTTTCTTCACGGAACTTCTTTCATTTTCCGTTTTCTTTCTTTCTTTCTTTCTTTCTTTCTTTCTTTCTTTCTTTCTTTCTTTCTTTCGTCACAGAACTAATTTCACTCCTATCTTCCTCTTACTTTTTCTTATCATTTTCTTCCGCCTCTTTCTTCTTGTTCATTGTGTTCTACTACCCCACCACCACCACTTTTCATCCTCCTCTTCTTAAATCGACTTTTTCAACTGTTTATTGATATTATCTGAGCTTCGTCAACAGCATGTTAAAAGTTTTCAACTGATATGGTTTCTGTTATTTCATAATGTACTTTGCGATTCTGTAGCGCCAGTCAACAAGCTTCAAAGAAACGGTATTTGGAAATCTTGACTGGGATCGAACATTGTCACTGGTACATAAGATGAAACTATCTCAACTACGATATGTGCTTACTTTACATCTAAGATAGATGTATATTGCTAAGGATTGGCATCGAAACACAACCAACAACAACAACTTAGTTTTGTAATATTGATGTTCAAGCCATGCACTCATCACACATAGATGTTCAAAACTTGAATTTCCTAATATATTTGGTTTTAGGTTTTTGTACGCTGTTTTAAAAAAAAGAAAACGATGCGCTTGGTTTTCACAACTAACTTGTTTATATCTATAAACAGACATCAGTCTATCGCGAAAAAAATGTAACACAATTGAATGAGGGTATCAAAAATACAGCAATATCTCATGTGATAGACATGCATTATCACTGGAAGCAAGCTGGTTTTGCAAAGTATTCGATTCCATTCTCTCTTGGTGCCCTGTACATTAGCGAGGCAAAGAAATGAGGTACTTAGATAAAATCTATTTACACTATTTACATTGTTCGGACTATCAAATATCTATTTAATTTTAATTTTTTACATTTTACTAAGAAGTCGCAAGTGTTCGACAATGTACCTTTCAGGTGTAGTAACTGCGACCTTTCAGTACTCTAGATGTCGCATTCAAAGTGACACAGTACGACAGGTAATAAAGATCTTAATGCAAGGTGAGACTGAAAATATGGCATGCAAAAGTTATGTGCCACTGGAGTGCACAAAATGGTAAACATTTTCACAGAATAAGATACACATTTCTAATGTTAAATGGATTAAGTAAAAATTGTATAAACATTCTGACGCTCAACTTGATTTTCTGGTGTAGTTGATTTTAATTTTATAATGAGAGATATTTGAAAAAAAAATAGACTAAGATAACCAAAATTCCTCTGAGTGAGCCAAAGAGAAATCTTCAAAGAGATTGGAATATTAAGGGGTTCTGTGGAAGCTAATCAGAATAATAATGCTATTGTTTGCGGAGGCGTTTGAGGCTATAAAATGGTCAGTGACCTTTAAAATTAGACAAGAGAGAGAGCAATAAAAATGACTTAAGTATACAACAAAAAGGTATTGGATCGTTAAATGTATGAAAGTTGCATTACTAGTAAAGTGAAGTTTCTGCTTCACCAAATAAATAAAACAAAAAAAAAATAAAATGAAAAAGAGGAGAGGAAAAGATAATTAAAAATAATACCAGATAAGACAAAAAAGATGGCCGAAAGAACAAGTGGAATGTTAAAGGAATCCTGATTGATTGATTGATTCGATATATTTTATGGCTTATCAAATCTTTTGTGGGTTATTTAAAGCTGAAACATATTTTTGAATTAATGATTTTTTTTAGAATGACAGCGGTTCTTCCAGATACAAGTCCTACTATTTAGAACATGGGAGGATTCATACGTTTCTAAAGATTATTTGCACGTAAGTGAATGCAACGAACCCGGCTGTAATTCAAACTCGGCTCACCAAACTCTCATTCGGAGAAACTATTCATTACACCAGCCACACATCCACGAACATACCTGATGAAACAATTAAGAATTTGTATTCCTTCATACAATGTTTTAATTGAATCATTAGTTCCGGCCGGTGGGAGGAATACTAAGTAGTGAGTAAGACTTTTTAAAAGTCCTTAAATATATAAATAAAGTTGATGTTTAATTTTCCCTCTAGCCGCTCATAACTTTTGAATGCTTTATTTTCGTCATCATTCATTCAGATCTATATCTTCCCTTGTATTGTGCATAGGACAACATGTACTATAGTCCAATATCATTCCAATCAATTTTTAGCCCTGGTCGGGGTGTACGCGCTCGGGTTCCCCATATTAAACCCGACCTTGTGTCCTATCACGTATCAGGAGACAGAGTAAATAATACTTGTACTAAAGTCTTTAATGACCACATACTCTTAAAAGTATATTGGTGAAAATTGAAATCTTATAATATTAGACTAATTGATGTGCTTGTCTGGATGACACATTTCTTTTGGTCGCCACTATACTAGTGTCCTTGTGCCAAATTAAACTAAGCTTTTTTTAGCAAGATATTCTCGTGGACCATTGCTTCTGTAGCTAGTCCAATACTTACATAGGTAACCAATATTTATAGCCTTGTGCCTGATTGAGTAAATAATGTAAGTCCAGATTTCCGTGTTTAAGAAAGAAGAATAAGTTTTTAGTTTCAAATATTTGCAGTGGAAATTTCAGTTTTAAAAAAATCCAGTAGCGAGTTTAACCGAAGTACTGATCAACGACAATAAAAATATTCAAAGGAAAATTGATTAAAACATTCAATGCCAAGATCAGAAAAAAATTACGTAAATGATGAGTATTCAGGAGAATAAACAGCTCGATAAATATTTTAAATCTGGATTGAATAAAGTGAAATAATGAAAACTTTGGATGCTTTAATTAATAATGTTCAATAGAATAAAACTGAATTGTTTTTTCCTTTTGGACGTCTTCTTCTACTTTATGTGCCGTGTCCCTTCAGGACGTTTGTGATCATGACTCTCCACAATATCAAGTCCTTCGTAGCTCTTAATGAATTTTGTCTTTTTGTTATTTCTCCTAAACCTTGTTCCGCCATTCATTTACTCATACTTACTAAGTAGGTTATGTGTTGTTTTCCTCTTCCCTCTAGCCTTCAATCAGTCCTGTGAGTATCAGATTTTCCAAGCCCACTTTCCTCATTATGCAGCCTAGAAATTTCAATTGTCTCTTCTTGATCATAAGTATAAGTTTTCTTTTTGTTTCCATTTTCTCTAAAACTTCGTCGTTGCTCACATGTTCAGTCCATGGTGTGCTCATCATCCTTCTGTAAAACCACATTCATGTTGCTTCAAGTGTCTTCTTCATCTTTGAGAAGATTGTCCAGCTTTCACTGCCATAGAGGACGACAGATATCACGTAACAGTTCAGTACTTTTTTCTTTGTTTATAACGAATTTTTTTTTGTTTCTTCATACTTTGCTTAACTTTTCGACGGCATCTTTGACAATTCAAATGCGCCTTCGCATTTCAGTGTCGCATTTCTGTCCTGTCTTAGAACACTTCCTAGATATTAAATGTTTTCTACTTGTTTGATTTTAGTATCTCCAATTTGTAATATGCATTTTGAGCTCATCTCTTTGCCAAAACCATGGATTCCCACTTCTTGCAATTGATCTTTAGTCCTTTCTTCTCGCTTTCCTTAACAGCCTTATATGAGATATGCAGATGACAGTGTTGATAGCAGATACAGAAAGAAAACTACAAAAACTCCTACAGAAAGTAGTGAAATTTGAACGTCAATTGAAAGTAAAAAATAGATTTTGCAAAATAACTGGGGAAGACTGGAACTATGGCTGGATGCGGAGAAGGAACCAAAACATCAACAGATGCCGAGCTATTATCCCTAAAATTTCATACTTGGCATTTGGTGAAGCATGACTTTCTTTAAAGTGGCTAAATTAGTTTGAAATTATACATTCAAAATTCATAAAATTTCGTGAATAAAAATGCCTTTTTAATCAACGATAAATCATGATTTTAATTTTGAAAAAATGGCATTACAAAATTAAATACGTTCAAGATGAAAACCTTATTTACCTTGAATATTTACTCGTTTTATCTTCTCGGGATTATTAGATTTTTCAACAGCAAAAACTTTGACTTATAGAATCCAATTAAATAAGTTATTCATTGAATTCGTTATTTTTTAATAATAAATTTCTTTTCGAAGACAATAGACAACATGCAGCGGAATAAATTTATAAAATTAGGAGAAAGTTTTGAGTGAAGAGATCATTTTTCTGTGACATATTTTCAGTTTCTTTGGTAATTTTATATTGAATAACTAAATACCGAGTTGCTTGTAATAGGGTATTCAATGTTCGAATCTATCTAGCAAGAAATTTTGGTGAGTCGAAAATTAAAATGAAACAAATATTAACGCATTATTAAAATCTATAAAATCACGTAGAATTTTTTAATTGAAAAAGAAATAAAACACTTAAAATAAACAGGATTTCCGGGAATTTATAGTAGAAAGTACCAACAAAATTACAGAGAATATTTTAAACATAAACAAATTACAACGAATTTTTTAACTGAAAAACTAAGCAAAATTTCAGAGAAATTTTTATTTAAAAAATCAGCAACATTTCAGAGAGCTTTTAACTTAAAAAAAAATGTTAAACACAATAAAATAACCCGTATTCTTTTTAAATTAAAAAGCATTAAATTACAGAGAATATTTTAAATATAACCAAAATTACAACGAATTTTAATTGAAAAACTAAGTAAAATTTCAGAGAATTTTTTAATTAAAAAAATCAGCAACATTTCTAAGTTAAAAAATGTTAAGCTCAATAAAATACCCCGTATTTTTTTTAAATTAAAAAGCATTATTAAAATCTGTTAAATTTCAGTTTGTTTTAGAAATGCCAAAGTTCATTAAGATATGTAGTATCAAGGATTCTTTTTAAAGGCAAGACATCGTTTACGTAAGCAAAATCTCAAAAAAAGAAAAATTTATTAATAAATATTGTTAAAATAAGCCTCGTCAAGCAATTCTTATGGAAAGAAAAAATTAGTTTATATTTCGTAGAGTCAATTATTTGTAACCGAAAATTGAATAATATTTTTAAACAAGTTTACTAACACCGAATATAAAAAAAAATAAGTGTCTAGCTATAAAATTAATGTAGATATTAACAGATTAATCATAATAATGCGTTAATCTTACAAAATTAATATAGATAAGTGTAAAATAAAATGTAATTTTTAAAATTCTTTTTAAATTGCCCTTATTACGGTAAATCCTTAAGGATAAAATTGTTTTCGTTAAACGGAAGTTTTATTTAACGGTCATTGTCTATAGAATAAATATTGT